GGGGGGGGCACTTGCATTCGTGTAAAAACTTCGATGACTTTTGTGCGCGGCCCCTCCGGAAAAAGACTTGATTAAATCACAAACCTCTTGTCCTTACCCAGTTATTACCCTTTGATTTGTGATTCCAGGGGCCTGTTTGCTTTGGCTCGGGACTTAGGCAAAGATTATCGTTATTAATATCAAACACAAACATTTTAATTGCAAACACACTGAGGACCTTCACTGGGAAGCCCGGCACGTCAGCCGCAGCCGCGGGGGTCACGAAGAGTCTCTTCGGGAGGTATTTTCTTTATTTAATGAAAAAAAACCTTCCTTTAGGCAAACTTACTCCAAACAATCGCTCAAGTTACCCTGCTGCTGGAGGAGACCTTGCCGTGGGGGTCCTGCCGGGCGGACGGGCCAGTTCGTTGAGGTTAATGCTGGGCTGAGGGCAAACCTGGCAGTAGGCTGGAGGGGTGTTGGCGTGACACTGTGGTTTCGGGGGTGCTTCAACACCGCTCCTCCCCTGCTGCCTGCGGCAAGCGGGTCCTGCGGGGCTTGGTTCGACCGGTGCCGCATCAGTAGTGAGCTGCGTGTAGCCCTTCTCTCTGACCCGGCGGGGGTCGGAACGAATTATTGAGGAAGGCGACGAGCTGCTAACCCGATCTGAACTACTCTGTCGCTGATCAAGTCCCTTCGCTACAGAAGCAAACTGTAACACCTTCGCTCTTTCGCTAAAATGCAGAGATTGCACGTAAAGACCCGCGTTCTCCGAAGCGCCGCTTTCTGAAGCGCCCCAGAGTTCCCTGAGGCAAAGGGGTTTATTTGAAACGAGAAAAAGGGGGAAACTGTCGAATCACTACGTGCCCACCACACTGTGCCGCCGCAATTACTCCTTACAGCAGAGCATCTCAGCAGAGAGCTTTTAGAGCCAGTACTTAACCGTTTTAAAACCCGGGCTGGCCACGGCGGCACAAAAAGGGAGAGCGGACGGCACCGCGACGAGAGCCAGCTCTCAGGGCAGTCTCTCTCAAGAGGCTCCCCTTCAGACGGACGTACCCGTGCCGGTGCCGGCCGAGAAGGGCGAGACCTTCCAGAAACGTGGCTGTGACCTTTCAAAAAACAAAAACAAAAAATAAATCAAGGGTTAAAGCTGACGAGGAGAGCGCCCGCGAGCAGAGCTGAAGTAGCGTCCCTTTGCTTTTGTCAGCTCTGGCGAGCCCCGCGTGTGCGTAGGGCAGAGCCGTGCCCTTGCCTGACGGTCGCCCCTTCCCGGGGTATAAACAATCCGTTACAAACCGTAACGCTCCGACTGTGAGCAGCTCCGCTCCACCATCCTCGGAGAGGCTGTGTTTTTTCACATCACTGAGTGAAAGGCTTCATATGTTGTTACCCCCCCCCCAACCCCTTTTCGGCCGCTTAACTCTTTCCTCCCTGAGGGACCCCATTCTCTTCTCCCTCAGGCTCCAGGAAGTCAAGGGGAGTTACCTTTCCTGGGAAGAAATCACGGCCCCACAGCCCCCAAGGGAGCGGGCTCCTGTCACGGCCTTTTGCTGCCCCGTTAGGGTAGCAGGCCCATCAGTTTTGCCGCAGACAAGGCCCGGGTTCAAGTCCTCCGGTGCCGAGAGGAAAAGGTGAGAGGCGCTGAGCCTCTCTCTTCTCAAGGACCGGGGGGGCTCTTTGCGCTTCCCCTTTCTAAGCTCACCCACCATGTGCAGGACAAGGCCCAAGAAGCGTCCCTTGCCTGGCGAGCTACGCAACTGGCACTGTCGGACATTTTAGGGAAGCAGCACCGCTTTCCAGGGGCGGACGCGCGTTCCACAGGCTCAGCGAGGAAACGGGCCGCGGAGCGCTGCGGGCGGCCGGACAGGCTGCGGGGTCCTGCCCGGGCACCCACCCGTGCCTGCCCGGCGTCCCTTGGGAGCAAACGGGGGAGGCGGGTAATTAACACCGCGGGCGCGGTCCTAGGTTAGGAGGGACGCTCCTTAGAGGAGAAAACGAAGGAAAAATCTGTCCTGAGAGCTGCCTCCGGTCACACGGGTCGTGTCTCGGCTACGTATGTCTGACTCCTCGGGGCTTCATCTCGCTGAAGTCAGTGGCGGGTTTTAACTCCGGGATCGAGTTATTATTTAATTACGAGGGGAGGGAAGCACTGTAACACAAAGAGCTTTATTTTACAATCCAAGAAATCCGTCTGTTCTTATATACAATATCACATTCCATCATTTAAATATATATTTGTTATGTTTACAAAAGAAAAGACAGTACTAAAATTATTTACAGGAACGAAACGAGGCGGGAACTCTTTAAATACGACTAACACGAAATGCAACCAACAGCTTCACTCAGACAGGAATGAACTTTCCGGTGAGTCTCAGACAAAGCGGATCACCGGTACACAGGTAAGTATCTTAAATTAAAA